AAACAAGAAGGGCATTCTCTCTACTTCTGTTATAAATCTTAGATTTTATTGATTTGTAATAAGTTATTCTTATCAACAGAAATCTCACATCGAGACCAAAATTTACCCACCTATAGAATGATACTCCTTATGTTTGTGCCAACTACCTGAGGGTAGTCCGAGTTTTAACATAGCTCACCATGTGTGAGGGTTAGAGTTGTAGTTTTATTTTTATGTATTGCTTCTCTTTACTTCTTAGTTGGGATCAATGATTAGCGATTCACAATTTGAGACATATGGTATATATATCAGAGTTTCCTTGTTTGGATTATTTCACTCAACGTACTAGTCTCGTGTTGTGGGTTTATAATTATTGATTTCCTTTATATTGTTTATCTTTAGTTCGGTGTTAATATTTAGATATTTATAATTTGAGACATATGGTATATACATGAGGGTTTTCTGATTTGGATTATTTTACTCGACGTACTACATCTTACTTTGTATGTGTCTAAATATTAATTTCGTTAGATACGGAAAAAGTGATCTAGGTAGACTATGCTTAATAGGTAGAGTCTCTATTTTATCTAGCAGCCCTTCTCCTGGGAGCAGATGGAGGTGATCTTGCTATAACGCTCTGACGTTCTTATTGTTGTTCTTTTTGTTTTAAATTTCTTTTCAAGCAGCTCAGAGTTTCGGAGAGCCGCATGATGACGAAGTTCTAGCATAGTCGTCATCGCATGATTTTACCATTAGAGGCTCCACTGTAGTTTTGTATTTTCATTTAGACATTAGAGTTGTATTTCATTTTTGTGAAGGCCGAGTGCCTTAGTGATACTTCATTTGACTCGATGTATTGAGACATATTACACTTGTTCCCATTTTAGTTATATTTTATTTTGTTCATTTGAGACATGATATTATTATTTGGCTATCTCTTCTGTATTCATCATGTTCATTACACTACTATCATTTTTTTGCCTGTTTTGTACCTACACTTCTTTTGGTTCCACTAGAGGATATTACTGTGATTGGTGAAACATGTTAATGCACTGTGTGAGTGCATGGCAGGTTTGACATCCTTGGATTCACCTTGGACTGTAGCCTTGTGTGAACCCAGGGGCATCACAGTTGGTATCAGAGCTCTAGTTCTATCATTCTTAGGATCATCCTGTGTCGAGTTGTGGAGCTAGGATAGAGTTTCCTAGGATTCATGTAAAGAGTCCGTTAGGAATTGCTAGAATGAGTGAGGACGTAATACGTATACCTCAAAAATTATGAATTTTTTATGACTACCTTACTTTCATTGAAAAGTATTTGCGTAAAAACTATATGATAAGTTATGTTATGTATATATGTTTGCGACCTTATTTACTGTGTCTACTAAGCTCTCCTCTTGATATTATAAATGTCGGGATGAGGATGCAGTCGAGATAAAACTCATACCCGGAGAGCTGGGCAAGCAGAGCCCAAGCCGCAGCAGGCTCCATAGTATCTGATCGACTTGGTAACGCTGATTGCAGAAGCAGAGACTAGCAATACTCGAGGAGTGAGTAACGAACCATATTACATTTTCTGGAGTTTCACCACCAGTTGTACCAGTCATGCCTATTGAAGAGGAAATACTAATGATTTCACCATCACCACAACCAGCTGTTGATAGAGCAGCAGAGTAGGAGGCTTGGCTCTGTAAGAATAAGAAAGACATCAGACACTAAGAGCATCATAATTTCAGGGTACACCGGATTCATGTGTAGCCTAAAATAGAAGAAATATATGAAAATCTCTTAACGTCGACTCAGTACTAAAACAGAGTTAGATGTATTCAGCATAGAGGATATCACCAGAAGATAACACCGGAGGATAGCACCGACTTCAGATTTTCGCCGAAGCAGTGAATACCACTTATTTGGGAGAATTTTGTTTGTTTCTTTGACAAGAAGTAGAGGTGGTCCGATTAAAACAGTGAGATATACCTATAGTTAATTATGGAATCATGACCAGCATAGTGACAATAGCAAGCGCAAGAGACCTATTGCGGAATCTAAAGAGCTCCAGCAGCAGGGTAAGGATTTTTACCACCAGCAACAAGGACATCATAAGAAGAGAGCACAACCTAAAACATGATTCGAGAGTGACGCAGCAGCGTAGAATTCGGCGTACATGTTACAATTGTAACAAGATCAGACATAGAGTAAATGATTGTCGTTGTACACCAACAGGAGGCCAACATGACAGAGGTCAGAGTCAGCATTCTCAGGACCACGATTACGGTCAGCAGCAGAGGATTTGAGGTACCTCCAACCGTCTCGAGGATTGAGGGGCCAGTAGGTCAGATTCGTACCATCCAGGAGATTCCTGAGGGACAGACAGTCCCATATGTTCCACCGCCGTCAACGTAGCAATCGCCAGCCACCTGCAGGGTTTATGCAGTCGTACCGTATGATCATTATGTTAGCAGAGCTTTCTTAGTGATTTCCTTTCCAGCTCGGATCTTGTTGATTCAAAAGCTTTGCATTCTTTTATCTATCATGATGTCATGATTAGACTTCAGCTTGTAGTGTAGTCTTTAGGTGTTTCATTATCAGTTTCTACTCCTTTAGGATAGGTGTCTCTCTTAGAGAGTATCTATAGGAGATATGTCGTCAGTTTAGATGAGTCTGATCTGTGATCGATTTGATCATCCTGCGAATGTCCGATTTTGATGTTTGATGTTTGATGTTATCATCCTACCATATTAGTATAGAGTGTTTTGTAAAGACAGTCATCTTGTGAGCATTTGATGTGTTTGAATAGATAGTAGCAACCTCATAGGGTAACCAGAATGCGGAGTTAATTCTGGCATACGTCGAGGAGGTGATGATACGGGATCAGGGTGCAGATTTGAGCGAGACCAGAGTTATCTTAGAGTATCAGGATATTTTTTAGGACATACCTAGATTACTTCTAGTGAGAGAGGTTGAGTCATGCATTGAGTTGTAGCTGGGCATAGTATCGATATCCTGAGCATCCTATCGTATGACACCTACTGAAATGATGGAGCTACAGACTCAACTAGATGAGTTTTTTACTCAGGGTTTTATTTACCAGAGTCATTTTAATAGGAGTACCGGTCCTCTTCGCGGAGAAGAAGGATTGTAGCATGCAACTATGTATAGATTATCGTGAGTTGAACAAGGCCATTTCCCAGATCAGGTATCCACTATCGAGGATTTATGACTTGTTTGACTAGCTACGGAGAACGCAACATTTCTCGAAGATTGATCTTTATTCTGGTTATTTTCAGTTATGAGTGCGAGAAATGGATATTCCTAAAACCGTCTTTCTGACTCGATATGGATATAGGTCTTTCGAGTGTCTTATCATGCCATTTGGGCTAACCAATGCACCTGCGGTATTCATGGATTTGGTGAACCGGGTTTTTCGTTAATGTTTGGACTAGTTTGTGGTTGTTTTATTGAAGACATCCTTATCTGTTCGAGATTGGAGGTAGAGCATGAGCAGCATCTTCGTTTGACATTGCAGACTTTACGGGAGTATCAGTTATATGTCAAGTTTAGCAAATGCTAGTTTTAGCTATCTGAGGTCAGATTTTTAGCCACGTTATCAGCAAGGAGGGTATTGTAGTGGATCCAGCTAAAGTAAAAGCAGTACTTAATTTTTGGCCATGTCGTATTCTAGAATTTATCAAGGATTATGAGTTTACGATTCAGTATCGTCCTGTGAAGACAACTAATACATCAAAAACTTATGCGAGGATATTCATTCAGGAGATCATGAGACCACATGGAGTTCTAAAGATGATTGTATCAGACCAAGGTTCAGTTTTCACTTCATATTTCTGGAGGAGCTTCCAAAATTCTTTCGGTAGTCAGTTGTCGTATTCTAGTGTGTTCCACTCGTAGACAGACAGACAAAGAGAGTCAACTAAGTATTGGAGGATATATTGCGGGTGTGTGTTATTGATTTCCAGGATAGTTGAGAGGATCACATCCTATTGAGCTTGTTTATAACAATAGTTATCAAGTGACTATTAGCATGACACCGTATGAAGCATTGTAGGGAGGCCTTGTAGATCACCTATTTGTTGGGCAAGCAAGAGGATAGCTTATTGCTTGGATCAGAACTCGTAAGACAGACCACAGAGAAGGTAGTAGTAATTCGGGAGCACATTCTTGCAGCGCAAAGCAAATAGAAGGGCTATGCATATCAGAGGAGAAGGCCATTAGAGTTCCAGGTTGAGGACTATATTTCATTGAAAGTATCGTCGATGAAGCGAGTTCAGCGATTTAGCAGACGAGGAAAGCTTGCCCCGGGGTATATTGGTCCATTCAGGATTATTGAACGCATTGGAGCCATTTTGTATCGGATATATCTTCTAGCATCTATGTCGAGTATACACGATACTTTTCATGTTTCGATGCTTAAGAAGCATTTACGTGACGAAGAGCAGCAACGCATATTAGACGGGCCAAAGATCGAGCTTCATGATGATTTGACTATGATAGAGATTTATGTTTGTATTCTTGCCAAGGAGGACAAGAAGATTAGAAACAAAGTGATACATTTGGTTAAAGTTCAATAGATTCGGAAAGGAGCTGAGGAGGCTTCTTGGGAGTGTGAGGGGAATATGTGTCGCGACTACCCGCACCTGTTTGAGTGGGTTAATTGATTGATTTTGGTTGGTGTTCATGATTATCTATATGGTCATATTTATATTTAACGCTAGAATGAGCTAATTATTTGGAACACACGGTATATATATAGGGTTCCTTGTTTGGATTTTTTGCCCGACGTACTAGTTCCGCTTAGTTAGGGGTTAAGTGGGAATATTTTTATTCTAGATTGTTAAGTATAGATATTTCTATGTACCCTTTTGAGAAAATATGGTGTAACTCACAAAATGGCTACACCATATCATCCTCAAACAAGTGGTCAAGTGGAGATCACTAATCGAGAAATCAAGGGGATCTTAGAGAAGACAGTGTCTCATTTGAGAAAGGATTGGTCTATGTAACTAGATGATGTTATTTGGGCGTATCGGGACAGCTTATAAGATTCCTATTGGTATGATGCCGTTTAGATTGGTCTATGGGAAATCATGTCATTTACCAGTTGAGGTGGAACATAAAGCACATTGGGCTATCAAGAGCATTCATTTGGATTTGAAAGAAGCAGGAGAACGGAGAAATCTCCAACTCAATGAGCTTGATGAAATGAGGTTGGATGCGTATGAGAATGCCAAGATTTACAAGGAAAGAACAAAGAAGTGGCATGATCAACATATCCTCCATAGAGAGTTTAGAGAAGGGAACTTGGTACTTCTATTCAATTCATGACTCAAGTTTTTTCCGCGCAAACTCTGTTCAAGATGGTCGAGGTCGTTCCAAGTGCGTAAGGTTTACCCATTTGGGGCTGTTGAAGTATGGAGTGAGGCCACATAAAATTTTATGGTTAATGAGTAGAGGTTAAAGCATTATGTCGCAGGTTCTTCGATCGAGAAGTTTAGTACTTTACCCTTCCCGATCCTTCATCATTGTGAGCATTGAAGGGGTCGAGCGCATGACCATTAAATGAGTGCTTCTTGGGAGGCAACCCAAGTTTTCCTTTCGCTTTATTTTTCTTTATTTTACTTAGTGTTTGATTTTAATTGTTAGCTTTCATGACTTGTAATCAGGTTTGAATTAGTGTGTAGGTAGATGACCAGAGAAAAATGGGTAGCAAAGAGTTCTGTTGTTATTAAGGCCCAAAAGGAGAGGACAAAGGAAAAGTGCTGAATAAAGATTCTACACGGCCTGGGTGTGTTTTCATGGACACAGTCGTGTCGGGCGTCAGTCTTCAATTCATTTGTTCTGCCTCAACCCCACGACCGTACACTTGTCAACATTCCCCCCTTTGTTTTGTTCTCACCTCCCCAAATCCCACCACTTCCACCTCTCACCTCTCACTTCCCCAAATCCCACCACACCACCTCCATTCTACCTTTCCTCCTCTGATTGTTGACCTTGACGTCCACATCACCGCCCAAGGACGTCCCCCTCATCAACCCTTCTCTCTCTCGCCACCTTTCCTATCTTCCATTTTTCTAACCCGCCACCAAGCATGCCTCCACCACAAAGACACTACCTTTTCCGTCTTGCCCATAGCAACGCCGACATTCACACCCCTCATTCTTCAATTCAACACCTAAAATCCCAGATCAATTCTCAGCCTAATCAATTGAGTGCTCAATGGCTCTAAAACGTAGAAAACCCAATGAAGCTGCAACTTCCAACTCACCGACAGAGTTACGGCATCGTTCTACAAGGGGTAACCCTTCACCTCCTCCCAATAACACTTATGGCATTATTGTTGGCCCTGATGTTAATCAAGAGGTACGATTTAATAACTTAGTCTTTAGCTTAGTCTCTAGACGCATGGTATCGACTAAATTCATTAATGATGATGCGTTGTTATAATTAGTGCTGAGAGATAATGTCTATAATTTATCGAATGGCATTGGTTGAGAAGATTATTTGGCGTTGCATAGACCTACATACAGGAGGCTTACTCTGGAGCTCTTAAGTTCTATATTAATTGATGTAAGTGATAGCGTCGTAGGTGGTCGACTTAATTTTTGATTTTTTAATAGGGACAATGTGATAAGTATGGATCAGTTTAACTGTCTTTTTAGCCTATCTGAGCAGGGGATTCGAAAACCCTCGAGGAAGTAGGATCCTGCCACCTTTTGGAGAGCTATAACCAGTGAAAGAGAAGATAGACAACGCCCAGTAGATAAGGCAAACGACCACCGCCCTTATGAACCTTCTAAGAATAAGGCATCCCAAATTTATAACCCTGTTTTTTGCTATTTACAGTGGCTCATGGCCAACACTATCTTTGGCAGAGGGGAGAGCGTAAGTGTTTTTTGGGACACTGAGGTTTTCATGTTGCACTGTCTAGTTAATAGGATTGTGGTTGATGTTGGATACTTTATGGCTAAACAATTATTCCAACTCACCGACAGAGTTACGGCATCGTTCTACAAGGGGTAACCCTTCACCTCCTCCCAATAACACTTATGGCATTATTGTTGGCCCTGATGTTAATCAAGAGGTACGATTTAATAACTTAGTCTTTAGCTTAGTCTCTAGACGCATGGTATCGACTAAATTCATTAATGATGATGCGTTGTTATAATTAGTGCTGAGAGATAATGTCTATAATTTATCGAATGGCATTGGTTGAGAAGATTATTTGGCGTTGCATAGACCTACATACAGGAGGCTTACTCTGGAGCTCTTAAGTTCTATATTAATTGATGTAAGTGATAGCGTCGTAGGTGGTCGACTTAATTTTTGATTTTTTAATAGGGACAATGTGATAAGTATGGATCAGTTTAACTGTCTTTTTAGCCTATCTGAGCAGGGGATTCGAAAACCCTCGAGGAAGTAGGATCCTGCCACCTTTTGGAGAGCTATAACCAGTGAAAGAGAAGATAGACAACGCCCAGTAGATAAGGCAAACGACCACCGCCCTTATGAACCTTCTAAGAATAAGGCATCCCAAATTTATAACCCTGTTTTTTGCTATTTACAGTGGCTCATGGCCAACACTATCTTTGGCAGAGGGGAGAGCGTAAGTGTTTTTTGGGACACTGAGGTTTTCATGTTGCACTGTCTAGTTAATAGGATTGTGGTTGATGTTGGATACTTTATGGCTAAACAATTAGAGAAAATTAGGAGATCTAGTGTGGGTGACAATGTTGTTGGAGGATTGATCATAATCCTAGCAGAACGAATGAAACTAGCCTTCACCCTCCTACCTGTGGAGAAACCAATAGCTCGAGTGGATTTATCATACTGCACAGCTTTCAGTCTTATCACTAAGATCGATGATGACTATTTGTTGACTTTCTTCAATAGTCCTATCTTTCCACTTCCTAATCCTGACTATACTAACACTGAAAGCTAGGTTAACTAGCAGCCACCTGAAGGTGACTTGCCATACACACCACCTCCTCAGGTACCCCTACCACCACTGGTTCAGCCCACCTTCTATCATAGTGCCTCCTCATCTAGTGCATCCACCGATTGGAACACCAGGTTCAACACCTTGGAACAGGGACAGGAACAATTATGCGAGTCTATCTCCTCCTTATAAACATATATCGATACACAATTAAATGTCATGGTCATGCGCTTGGACGGTTTTGGCACTACACTTGGGACCATGAATGAGTTGATGCAGCATATGCACCAATAGTTCCTACAAAATGGTTATCCACCTCCACCACCTCAATGAGCGGTGAGTGCTTTTTCTCTTCCTCCTTTCAATTATTTACACACATTGGGGACAATGTACAATTCTAGCAGGGGGGAGTGGGATTTGTCGCGGTGATGTTTTTGAGTGTTTGTTTTTCTTTTAAATAAAAAAGAGGGGAGAGTACTACTGTTTGCAACCCTCTTAACACGTACATCTTTGATTTCACTTACCTCATTATTAGATCAAAAAATCTCTGTTTCATGTCCAGTTAGTTAGAGTGTCATCTGTCCGAGTTCCAATTCACACATACTTGACTCTAGACGTAGGAATAGATAGGAATGACTTTTGGCTTAATCCATCTAATTAGTACCTAAACTCCTTTGGTGACTTGGACTAATTTTTGGTTACTGGAGAAACACTCGGCCTTGAAAAAAAAGGTTCTAAAGTTTGTTGCACCGAGTACCTGACACCGCACCCTTAGAAGTATGGTTGTCACATCGGTAGGTGCTACGTATGACATGATCTTCACATGAAAAAGAGAGAGAGAAGTGCAAGGAAACCGAGTGCTCCTTTGAGACCTTAAGTAGGAAAAGTATGACCCATGTGTGATAAGATATGTGTCTTTCACGAAGAGGCCTTGGGAATCAACTAGAAGAAAAATTCTGCCATACCATTATTCCAATGTTTATGAGTCGAGTCACTTGACCTGACGTACGGGAACACCTACAGATGTATTCTCTTCAACTTGAGACATGAGACGAGATTTTCATTTTGACTTTGGGCTAAGTGAAATGATGCTACACGTGAACTTGAGTCTAGTGGATGCTCTAGCACTTATTTGATATCTCTGTTGTCATTTCTTTGAATATGTTTCCTCATGTGTGTGTGTTTCCATCTGTTTTGCTTGAGGACAAGCAATAGTTCAATGGGGGAATTAAAGATAGATGTCACCTGCTATGTTATAGATGCGGAGACAACCTACAATTTGCTATGGGGTCGACCATGGATCCATAACAACTTGATTGTTCCATCCACTCTGTATCAGTGCATGAAATACGTGGATGAGAACGGCGAGGTTAAAATAGTGGTCGCAGAAAATCAACTATGCAAGGGAGTAGAGAATTACTTTACTGATTCTGTCCACTACCTAGATGGTGAGCAAACCGACACATCACCAGTTGAGGACCTTGATAGTGGTAATGAGACTGATACTGAGCCTGAATACGAATAAGGGCTTATCTTTAACAACACTGATCTCGTCGTGATTGGCATTGGAAGCCTCGATGTAAATGATACTGCTGATGATGACAGCGAAGTTATCTTCAATAATAATGAGAAATTAACTTACTTGTCGTGCGTTGAATCTAACTCTGACATATCAGGTACAAGTGCCGACATGTCGTCTGACCCCTTGTCACTATTATATGCCAAGTTAGCATTATACATGCTAATTCATTCGTCCTTCACAACAAGTTGGCGACGCAACGAGTCCTTGCGGCTGTATTTGTGGTTCTCTCTAGAAAAAATGACCAAGAAGACATCATCTTCAAAAACTAAGGGTCCACTGTAAACTCTATGGGATGAATCTGATGAAGAACAAAGAACTCCTCAATTCTCATGTTTTAGGCCAACAACCCGTCACATAATAGAGAAAATGGGATATGACTTTTTCCATGCAGGAGGTCTGAATTTCGGCAAAGGCCGGCGCACTGCGCTTACCCCCTTTGTCCTAAAAGGGAAACCCGGAAATTATTATGACAAGACTCGTAGGGGTTAGGATACGTGTCTCCATCACCAACACAATGCTTCAAAGCTAGAATAGCTACTCCATTAGCTCTTCTTCTGAATCAATCTACTGAGATTCAGACACCAGTACAGGAGCCATGTTCAAGAGACTTATGGCTAACATGACCTCAACTCTCCCAAGAAAAACTCGAGAGGATAATCAGTTACCTATATTCGAGGATCCTTTGAGTCGACAACTCAGTATGCAGTGGGAAAATCACTTTGAACAATGTGAATCCCCTACTAACGACAAAGTAATCCAAGTGAACATGGGAGATGAGTCTAACCATAAGCCTATATTCATAAGTGATAGCTTGTCACCCGAACAAAAGGAAGACTTCATCGCTCTTGTATATGAGTATATTGATGTCTTCGCTTGGAATTACGAGGACATGCCTGGCCTTGATCCTCAGGTGGCCATGCACCGCCTTAACATCAAACTAGACACGAAGCCTGTCTAGTAACAACAATGGCTATTCCATCCACAGATCATGGAGGTAATCGAAGCTGAAGTTAAAAAAGCTCATTAATTTAGGATTTATCCGAGA